ATACTTTTTGCTCTGTAATTTATAGGATCTTATTCTATGTTTTCAGATCATTATGGGCAGAGCTTGAAGTCCCTACTCAATTTTAATTTTTGGAAAAAATTCAGCACAGGGATCTATTTCTAGAATTTATTCTGACATGATCTAGAAGCTCTTGTAATTTTTTTTTAACATTCCTGACTCTGCTCACATAGTTGATGTACACAGAGTAACTTCTTCTTAAACAAAACCTACTCTGAGCTGCCAAATACAACAGAGAGCACCTCCTGCCTCTCTTGAGTGCTGGACATCATACAGACCAGCACAGCTTGGATCAGATAATGTGAAAATTTAGCTGGGGATTATCAGTAGAACTGCACAAGATATTTGAAGAGGAGGTAATATTTGCAAGGGATAAGACAGCCAAGTCACCTAGAAAATTGCTGTAGAAAAACAAGTTTTACCTTATGTAACCTCCATTATGCCAAACAAGAAATCTTACTTAGGACCAGATCCTGCTCGCTTTGAAGTAAGTGGAAAACTTTCCATTTGCTTCATTGTGGAGGATCAGACCTACAGGGAGTCTAGTTCGTCTCTGTAAACAGGATAAAGAAGCAAAAGAAACATCCATGGCAACTTGTAAGAATTTCCTGGCAGTGTAGGTACCAATAATTAACAAGTAAAAAAACCCTAATGCTTTATACAAAAACATTTCAATTTCCTCTGTCCATACTTACTTCTCATGGACTAGAAAGAAAACTGTGAAATGTTTGGCAAACAGAAAGGACTTTGGTCTAGGTTCTGTGTTCTGTCCATGTGTGCTTTCTGCTTTGTAAACTTTGTTCTGGAAGCACCCCTGGACTCAGCTAAAATGTGTTGTCAAAGCAGATCCCAAACCTGACAGCTATTATTAACTTTGTTGGAGCTTAATAAAGAAATAATTTACTGTAGAGCAACACATAACTTTGTACATCCTGCAACAGCAATACAGGATTACATTCCATTGCATCCAATGGTAGAAGAAGACTAGGTGTATTCAGGTGGCCAAGACCTGGCAGTTGTTTCCCTTATAACATCATATAAATGCCCTCCATTTAAAAGAAACTGTTTGTCTGTAGTTTCTGCAGCAAAAGCAATCTCAGTGATTTCCCTCACTGACAAAGGAGCTACTTGTAAGAGTTTGAATAATACAGGCTGTGAAATTCAGAAAGAAGAATGTTGTCCTTAGCTATCATAAGAAGCTATTTAAGTTGGGTATGACATCTCTGTGTCTCTTTTTTTTGGTCTGAGGAAAGGAAATAGAAAACAAGAAAACATCATTGTCAATAGTAACAAACCCCAAATTCAAGATATGTTTGTCCAGAAGTTTCTTGCCTATTGTTTACAGCTCCCATCTTCATTTCTCAAAGTTTTCCTCCTGTCTGACATGATATTCTCAGTAGTTAATAAGGGAAGTGTGATCTAGATAAATTGTGTTGGGGTGGGTGCACGGGTTGTTCAAAAAAAAAGCACATTGAAAGAGTAATTATTACTGGTTTGCTGCCAAAAGAAGTCATCAAAGGACATTTCCATTGGATCCTATGGAAGTCTATTTTCAACCTTGCTGTACTCAGTATTTTCACAAATGACTTATGACCAGAGAGAATATGCATGAAACTATCTATTTCAAGCTATGAGGAATGATGGAGGTTGGTCTTAAAATTTGCAGCGTTCTTGTATCCATTCATTTCTACGACACTGTGGCATCTGTAATGTTACTTCCCATAGAGCTGTGTTTCCTATTGGCAGCCTCAGTGGAGAAGCCAGAAGCTGAATGGGTTGTCATGACTGAACTGACAGATCCACAGATAAACTGATCATTGACAGACCATCTAGTAGTCATAGATCTTCTAGTCCCTCCAAAATGGTGTTGAAAAGCATTGGTTCAAAAGTGTCAAGAAATTTGCTTTAGTTTTCTCCGTTATTTAGCCTCCATACAGTATCAGTCTAGCAGTGTTAGAAGTATTACAGATGGAGCAGTTTTCTTTCAAGAGTAAGAAGAGCAGACTTACAAGTTAGCATAATTATGACTCTTCCAAGACCTAAGTGCAGAATGATCTCAGGTTTTGGGCCTATCCCATGGCAAACAATTACAGTTGTTTTCTACATGGACTTGCTTTTGTTTTTGTTAACCACAGAAAATAAATACATTGTAGGAGGAATCTGAACTCTTAAGAGACTGAAACTCCTATTACTTAAGCCTTTCTGTGGAGCTCTGTATTTTTCCAGCATTTTATTTAACTACTTGACAGCAGCCCAGGAAACATGAAGCTGCTCTGCCTTCATGCTGTGATATCACCCACACTAGCCACATTAAAAACTCTGTGTCTTGAGACTTGCTCTACCCATGTGTTCATTAAATATTAGATGCGGCCAGTGGAGTGATTCAGATTATTTCTGGACATGCAATGTTTGTTTCTAACAACTCTTTTCCCCATCCTGTTTTAATCACCATGTGACTGAAAGTAGAGCACCTTCCCTGTCTCTGCCAAGAAATTGCAACATGACAAATATTTTTGTTGCAATGTAGTTTGGCTGATATGAAATGTATCATTGGTGTTCACCACTCAACAACAAAGGCCTTTTCCTTCTGCATGTATGCAAGGAGATTACCATATTGTAAGATGCAAAGTTATATACTTATATAAACTCCCTCATGCTAGCTATGTAAATGAAATCCTGAGATCTGTAGCTACGTGAACTCTCCCTTCACCACTCCAATATCATCATTAGATAAAATGTAAAAGGATCCAGGAACCTGGCTTTTCCAGGAGTGGATTTTCATTGTGTATTTGAGAAAGAGCTAGGGTGTAATGACTAAAGCACAGAAAAGAGGAGCAAAATAGCATGATCATCTTTAGTCCAGACTTGTATGACCTGGGAGTAGAGTTTTAAATTTTGACCACCTAAGGATTCACACTTCTCTGGTTAGTACAAAAACCCCCAAAACTAAGGAAGGATACAGAAACCTTCCAATCATATCTGCAGAATGAGGATCAACTGCTCTCCACAATCATTGCGGGAGAGGAGGCAGTAAGGAATCACCTTAATTTGCAGCAGAGATTATTTAGGCAGGCACTAAAGAAGAGCTTTCAAAACGTCAAAATGGGAACAACTACTGAGGGCTGCTATTGAATCTTCTTCTTCAGAGATTTTCAAAAACTAGTTCAACAAGCATTCACTAGTGAATGGCTTAAATATGCTTGATCATACCTTTATCGGAGGACTCAGACCAGCTCACTTACGGTCTTTTCCAGCCCTCATCTAGGATTCTAGAGGTAGTTAAAGCTCTGAAAGACTTTTCTCACTTTTCTCACTGCTGCATTTGAATCCCTGCTTAGGCAAAGACTTGCTAATATCTGTGCCTGTGCTAATGATGTGATGCATCCACCCTCTTGTCTCCTGGGTCATGAGTCACTCATGAAGTGCATTTCATCAAAACTATTTCCCCTTCTGCCCCCTGAAGTCACTGATGGGACAAAAAGATTCTATTCCTGTGTGACTAGTGGAAAAAAAATCCAGTCATAGTTTACAATGGTTATGCCAGTAATATAACAATATTGTGTTTTCCTTTTCTGATGGGCAGAGTGTTTATTCTTCTACCAGCTGTATTCATTTAGCACGTTATTCATCTATTTGGTTTCACTATATGTATATTTAACAGTTTGCAATAGGGAGGATGCAATCTTTAAACAGCTTTTCTCCACACAGTTGTGTGTTAAGTGAGTCTATATTTATAGGTAACTGAATCTAATAGTATCACCCAGTGCTAGAATACTGTAGCTGAATCTTAGATTTATACCACAGATGGAACTGATTCAGAAATGATTTTGCAAATATTGTGAAACTCATACAGTCCTAACTATGTTACAATATCTACATCTGAACCTAGAAAAGTTGAAAGGAAGACAATGAATACACATTCCAGAAGAAAATAACCCAAAATGTCAAGTGTACCATATATGTAAAGGGACAGAAATTAGCCAAGGATGTATTTCTTGAGTCTATTATGTAAGAGTGCACCAGGGACTAAAGTTCTAAGGGTTATTTTGGGTTTCAAAACCAATTACAGAGACAGACAGCCTTCTGGGACCAGTGGAGCCATTGACTAACTTGAATTCTGTCTGTGATGTATGTGTTTAGATGTACCTGGATTTTTGGTTAGCATGATTTCCCTGTGACTGTTATTACAGTTCTTCTATATAATACTAGCAGCTAAATCAAAAAGGAGACAGCAGTCATTCCCCCTGAATTGCAACTTCTGAGTATGCTACAAACACAACTTCTATCTTCTGCACATCCAGGGTCTAACTCAGATAAAAGACTGAACAGGGAGGGGCTAGTCATAGTACTATAAAATAATCTTCCTACAACGTTTGGCTTTAAAAAAATATATTCTAACTTATTTTAAGCTGAATGGGTAAAGGAGGGGGAAGGGGGTGGAGATTATTTTCACATCCTGAACACTGCTGTCTATGTAGTGAAAGTAACAAAAACACAGAAGGCTGAAAACCTAAAAGTAAAGGCTGAAACCCTAAGTACGACAGAACTGCTCATGTCTCAAACTCAGAAAATCTGAGATTTGAGATCTGATGCTGAAATTCTGGTCAGGGCAATCTTTGCATCAAAGAGATTAGTTCGGTTCTGTGCAGGCTTACAGGTAGGAGATTTCATTCACTATATTTGGGGTTGGATCTCTGTTCCAATTACAGAGACCCTTCACAATTTATAGGTATTTTGAAGTTCAGAGTTTTTAGAAGGACCCGTCTCTAGCAATGCAATTAATACACACGGAGCTGCACCAAGGGTTATAAGAAATCTTTTCCCAGAGTGGTTTAGGTTTCACTAATGTGGATCGACAGCGCTGCCCTTTTTTAGATAGGCTTAGGGAGGCTTGGACAGGATCATACCCAAAATGTACAGTTAGGCTGAGAAGGCACAAGCAGGTAACAAGTCTAGTAAGTTAGCGAATGTCTAGAACTGACCATGTTCTCCATGACTCCCGTCCTGTTGGCAAGCTCGCATTCCTCTGCATGCCCATTGCAAAAGCAGCTTCCCCGGATGATCAGGTCATAAATAGCATAGTGGGCAAATCTCTGAGGTTTCTCCACCAATCCTGAACCATGGCATGGACATTCCTGTCTTTTTAACAAAAGGAGGCGGAGGTTGGTGAGTTTCAGGAGATCTTGAGCCTCAGGACTATAGGGGTCTTCGATCTTGTTAGCCGGACTTAAGGCACGATAAATCACCTGAAAGACAGAAGATACACATCCAAGAATAGATACAGGACTCTGCATACACAGCAAACATCCCAAGGTGATGTTCGGGGAAAAGTAATAGTTCCTATTTAGAAGACTCTGCATAAGCAGTTGTGGGGCTGTGACTGATCCCAGAACATCACAGCTGAGTTACCACCAGCTGGCCAAGCCACAGCAAGTGACTGTGTACCTGCTTTCATCCCCTCTCTGATGTGAGATAGGAAATGCCTTAGCTTAGACATCTTTCCATGGGGTTACTGAGCCCAGTCAATTGCAGTTCAGCCAATATGTGGTAACTTGCAAGCACTGGTTACTTCTTTGTGTTTCTGAGCCAAGTGACAACAGTGTCACTCAGAGAAATCCAAGGTTTATTGGCATAAATGCAGTATTAATGCCATGCAAATTTCTCAAAGCATTTTAGGAACATGGCATTAGCATGAGTTCTAGAGTCAGGTAAACTAAGGCACTAAAGGGAAGAGGAAACTGTGATCAGACTTTTGGCTTGGTCACTTGAACTATGTGCTGGAAAACACAGCTTGGTTTAGGGTGAGTAAGCATTGAGAAAACCCTGTCTTCAAACAAAGCCAACTGGTTTATTCATTAGGAGAAGAGAAGTAGCTACACTGCAGTGAGCTTGCAGGACCAAATGTGCTTACTGGCTGTCTGTGGGTTGTTACTCTTTTGTCGCAACTTTTATGCTGTTTGATAGTTCTCCAGAGCAGCAACAGTTTGGTTTTGGTATCACAGTTCTAATTTGATGTTTAACAGTGACTGAAAAGAAATGTTGTATTTTAGCTCATGCACCACTCTACCCTTCTGTATATCTCAGGGTGTGTTTGTTTCTGTTGCTTTTGGGGAGAGGTTGACAATGGAGGGCTGCACCACAGTCCATGCCAGTGAACTAAAAAGCTGGTTGCATTCGTTCCCAGGCTTAAATGTCCTCTATGGATATGCTAGCTCCAATTTGAGAGCTATTTTCTCCTCTGGTTGAGTTTTTCCATCATAGCAGAGGGACTTACCCTCAGGGTTCTTTATCCGTGCTTTACAAGTGGTGACAGTGTCTGTCTGACTAACTCCATTAGTGGAGTGAAAGCTTTGTTTCCATAGGGATTCCCTCTTTCCCTCTCTCTCTGTGTTTTCCTTTTTCTTTCTTTCTAGTGAACCGACCAATTTAAATACTTGCAGCATGTAAAATGCTTTTGCTCCTTTTTGCTTGCAGGAGCCAGAAAAGAGCTTGTGGTACATGCCTGGAAGATAATTCATTGCATGTTGATGGCACATGAGGAGGTAAACCCCCTTAAATTAACAGAATCAGCTGCCAGGCTTCGCACAGAGCTACACCTGGCAGTACCACAGCAAAGGCAGTGGTACATTTCCCACCTTCTGCAGCACTTTCTGGTTAGCTAGCTCTGTTCTTTTTTCTTTTCATTCCCTTCTCTCATACTGTCAGCTACTTACAAAGCTGCAAACAGCCCTGTTTGGTGAGATCAGAGGTGCCCATATTTCCTTGTTTGATAGAGCTATGGGCAGATTGCGCAGGCTGTGCAATGCAGGTGCCTACATTCCCCTGACCAATGAAGCCATGACAAAATAGCCCAGGCCTTTCCACCCCAATGTCCACATTCCCCTGGTCAATGGAACCATAAGCAAATGGTCTATTCTGTTTTGTCCAGGTGCCCAGCATTCCCCTTACTGATGGATTCACAAGACAAAGACCAAATCTCCTCTGTCCAGTTCCCCCAATCCAGGATGGTCTCATCTTTTTAGTGGAAACCAGTTTTATGAACTCTTTCTCCTTCTTCCCAGTGCCCTGTGGACCACACAGAGGTGGAGTGGTTTCTCAGAGACCTGAGCCTCTGATCGTGTACAGACACACACATCTTCCTCCCACATGGTCAATTAATCTAAGACCAAGGCAGTGAACTGGATGGAATAGTTCTGCAGAGCCTGCTAAGCTCAAAGATCTCATAGTAGGGTTAAAAACTAACTACTGGGATATTAATGGTTAAAATTCCTTGTGAAACTGTTTTAAATTGGCATAGAACAGAGGAACCAAGGGTAAAGCAGTCTGTTCAGTTACTGGTTTTTATAAGCTCTATTCTTATACTTAGCTTTCTTGTCTATGGCTCTCTAGTAAATATGCTTAGTAAAAATGGTATCTCCTTTCAGGATAGCTCTCCAGAGGACACCTAACAGATCACTGGCTTGAGAACATAAATGCCAGAGGTACTTTGCTCCATGACTAGACATCTGAAAAAAGGTAATCAATATGTCATTAGCTTCTGCAAGATCTGCTCTGGTCCTGCCAGTGACCTCCTTATACAAGGCTGTGCAAGAGGCTTAATGTCTCTGTGCCCCAGAGATCCCAGTTGTGAACAGCTCTGGATGTTCTCACAGGAGAGAGAGGAACGGTGAAAGAGGTGAAGAACAAGAGTTTTTACTAGGCCTCTCTGAAAGAAATGACTAGATAATGGTCAAAGTGTTTCTTTTTATTGTATGTCTCTGACATTATACTTCTGCTTGATGACAATAGTCTTGCATTGTGTTGTGTTAACTGTGAAGGAAATCTTGTGTATTGTGTTGCACTACTAGAAACCTATTTTGTATACAGTATGATAAATTTAAAAAGATGGAATCATGTTTTGGGATCTCCAGTCAATTATCCATCCTCCCCATGTCTTAATTGGTATCCAGATAGCACTGAGTTCTTTAGGCAAAAGAACAGCTGTTGGGTGCTCTTCTCTCAGCATAGGGCCATTTGCTTTCACAAAGCTGTATTGTTTTTTGTTTCTTTGCTTGACAGCTTGGAAAAAGGTTGGGTTCCCTGTAGGCTTATTGTTTTGCAAATATTTTCATTTCTGGCCTTGCATCTCTTGAGGGGAGTTTCTTTGGCATTTTCCATATCCCCTCAGAACTCTGAACATCATTTGTGAGTAGACATGTTAATAGCTTGGATGTCCCATAGGGGTTGTGGCATCCTTTTAAGAAAACACAGTATTCCATTCCAGTTGAGGTACAAGAGTTTGCTTGTATGATTAATTCATGACACATTTCTGTCTGGAATAAGCTCAATGGTGAGACTGGATCTGTTTGTCCTTATCTCTCCAAAGGCAAGACTTGTTAAGTGTTAAAGATCTGATTTAGGTGACATAACACTAGTGAAGTCTTTTGGGAGAGGCATTTATATGTTCTTCTTGGAGTCAACAACCACTAACGAATTTCCTTCCTTAACTTTGTAAAAATCAAAGATACTGAAGACATACTTAAACAAAGACATTTTGTATCAGCAGAGTCAAAGCAGATGTGTTGTGCCAATATAAGTAGGTTCAGGTGAGCTGCATTTTGCACAGAGGTAGCGTAGTTTTATTTTGCATTTAAATCAGTTCAACAGCATTAGTTCATATTTGCATAAAACCGGAAAACGGATTTTTCCTCTCTCTTCCCTTCTGGAAGACCCATTCTCCTTGAAATATTGGTGGTTAAAACCCTTGAGCACAAGGAAGAGTATAATGTAATCACCATCTCTTTGCTAATTTTTAATATTTGATTGGGTGTTTCTTCTCACATTAAAGTGCCAGTCATTAGACTTCCTTAACATATGTGTTGCCCTACTGTCAAGAGCAATATGTTACAATCCAGAAGTTACACTTATTAGTCTACTATGTGTATTGATTCAAATAATTGTAGAGTGGGATGAATGTTTAAAACAGATCTGGTATCTCACCTTACATGCCTTACATGCATTATTTTTCCATAAATGCATGATTTACCTAAAAAAAACCCGTGAAACCCAAAGCACTAAACATTTTTCTGTACTAAAAATACATGATTATGTTTTAAATGAATGTATTTGGGTTTATGGTTCCCTAAGAAAAAAATGAACCCTAAATTAGGAGACAGATTGGTGGTGGTTGTATATATGGGTTGATAATTTTATTCAGTACAGGGAAGAATTTTATTTCTGTAAAAAAGGAAGAGATGTCACTGACCAAAATACAGAGTTGGGAATGTGACTATTTGTTCAAAGCCCCAGTGCAGTTTAGTATAATGTTTGGCAAGTAACTTAAGCCTTATGCTGTTCTGGATTGCCAGTGAATTCAGTAGGAACAGGAGAAGTCTGTTGTATGTCCTGCTTACATTTTTTTAAGAATAGGATGTAGGTATTCAAGTACTTCACGGAATGGGAGGAAGATTAATAAATTTATATCTGTAAAATTCTCTGAGAATCCCTAGAGATGGATGTTCAATACATGCAATTTTAATAACAATAGGTAAAAGAAAAGAGTTTGGCTGTCTTAACCATTTCTGCATAAATGTTTTAAAGATCAGGTTAGAAATGGATCTAAGTATTAGTGAACTCCCAGAGTCATGAGGTGTGGGAAGAGACACTCCATCTTTTCACTGTTATTTGTTCCTTTTTTTTTTTTAGTTCACAAGGTTTGTGTTTCTGAACCCTATGCAGCAGATTTATTCTCTACAGGTAGACATTTGACTTCTGCCTTTTACAGAAAGGCAGAAATATGGTTCATTTTTCATTTCCCAGAGATACTGTGCAAATTTGCAGTTTTCCATTATATTCATGTAAAAGACATGAAAAGAGTGTAAGGAAAAAGAAGTGTGTTCTTATAATTAAGATGCAAGCTCTGAAAAGAGCTTCCCATGATGTTTACTGTAAAGCTATTTCTCATCTAATTAAATGTCTATCTGGTATTAAGCTCCATGGAAGCTCCGTTCTTTTTTTGCTGTAACAGACTGCTCTGAAATCTCCCAGTCGTTTCTCTAAACATCAGTGTGCAGCTTTCATAAAAGTAGCTTATGCACAGCTGCAAAAGAAAATCTGATGGTGATTAAATCTGCTAAGGGACACTCTAGAAATCTTTCCGATTCCATTGAATTGGATGGAAGTTGAGGGTATTCAGCACCTCTGTAGTCTCAACCCTTGGTGGAAATACATCCTAGATCCTGAGTTTCCCTTATAATCAGGAGCTGAC